ACTGACCACATTCTTGTTAGGACTCACTGGAGGACCCTCCAGAACTGCAGGGTTCACCAGAATACAGTGGTACTGCCTATAGACTGATAGTACTACTCTTTGGGTACACTTCTAAACCCCCCATTCTCCAGAGTGTTTCACTTAGACAAAGTGAGGGAGGAGTATGCTCAGAGTAGTTTCTGATCAGTTCACAGTGCTCTAAAACCTGATTGACCTCATAGTTCTTTGGGATTCCTTTAAGCTTGAAACACTTCGTGCAGCGCAGGAGTTCATTGGTGAATGCCTGAGGGTGAGGCAGAATTACATCTCACTGGAGATATTGGAGGCTTTGGATGTGTGTTGTCACTTGGCTTGACTGAATGGCAGTCAGGATTTGCGCTGTTCCTTGATGTGCATGGCTTGGATACTGCTGAGGAGTTTGAATGCCATTTTTTAGTAAATAACCTTCGTCCCAGCCTAACAAGCCCTGAGAAAGCTGAACTCCAAGCCCTCCTCGCTGTCTATACTCACCTTAGTGAATGGACAGATAATTTCTGATCATATTGGGGTTTGTAAACGTTAAGCTGAGTATTTTGAGTGTTGTCACAATCCCTGTGCCTACAAACCTGTGAGGAATCTCCTACCCTAAGTGAGGTTAGGAAAGCGATCTCTAAGCTGAAGGGTTAGAAAGCTGCGGGCATATGTGATATCCTTTCTGAACTGCTAAAAGCTGGGGGTGAACCTATAGTCTTGGCTGGCATCTGGCATTCCATTCCCCCAGATCTGTTGAGGGGAGTAGTCTTCCTTCTCTGGAAGGAGGTCCTAGTGTTTTGAGTCATGATGATGCGAGTTTGGTTGTGGGCTCCTTGCAGCCTACATTGACCTCAAGAAGGCGTTTGACTTGGTGCATCCTGAATCACTATGGAAGATCCTGAGACAGATAATTAGTTTAATAGCCTATCTGCTGACTCTGAAAGTGCTGTAAAGTGTGATGGGGACCTGCCGAGTTTCTTCCTTGATAACTGTCCTTACACCAATACTTTTCAACACTTGCATGGACTGGCTAATGGACAAAGCTACTATCCATAGTCACTGGAGCAACAGTGGGCAATATCAAGGTCATGGACCTCGACTTTGCTGACGATGTTGCTATCCAATCCGAGTGTCTGGAGTCTCTGGTAATGGCTCTAGACACATTCAGCAATGAGGTGAAACCCTTGGGTCTAGTGGTCTCCTAAACCAAGATCCAGGGTTTTGGGGGCCTGTCAGGAGAATCTGTTCAGTCAATACATGCTTGCGGAGAGGATGTTTGAAGTCACAGATAATTTCACATACTGCTGTTCTAGAAAGTTTACACATCTCACTGCTTACTGAAATCACACAAGCCTAACGTCAGCATATACCACTTATCGTGTTACAACAGTTCATACAATATTACTCTTGACAAATGGTATATGTTTTCCTCAGGAATTATGCAATATTCATATGCTTGGTCAGCAGCCAGGACCGAATCATGACCTTTTGAGGCTCCTAGGCTACTAAAATTATGAGACCCCTTTAGATGAAGCCACCCTTTAATATGGACTAGGACCCCATGATTTGCAGCTTTGGCCCCAGTCTGTGGCCACTTATTGCAAAACGGGCCTCAAACATAGCCCACTTTTGAAATTGAGCTTTCACTTCTGGCCCTTGTTTTTTTGTTGAAATTTTAATCTATATTTAATGAATCATTCAATGCAAAATATCAAAATACCGTGTTCATTGAAAGAGGTACATATAAAAATCTTTTAGCAGGGCCCCTTAAGCTGGGGAACCCCAAGCCTATACTAGCCTATAGGATAACATGGACTTGCGACCCTAGTATTTCATTTCAAAGAGGATTCCAATAAATTTGTTTCAGTGACATGCAGAATGCCTTTGCTGTATCCATAGTGATAATATTTAACACTAAAAGAAAAGAAATGTTGCATGGCCTAGGCTGAAACCTAGGGAATAATGTGCACTGTCAGTGGCAGTGTCTGTGAGAGGGAACGTTCAGGAACAACAGAAGCACATAAGGGTAAGGGCTTGGGAGTGGTGGCAGTGAGATGAGCCTTCTATGTTTCTAATGTTATTGTTGTTGATTCACACTGTGACTAAATCAGTTTATTGTGCAGACTATCAGATCTCTTCAGAAATGGTTGAATCCTATTTGACTCTCACAGGTGTTGGGTTTTAAAACGGGCCTAAAAACAGAGTTGTCATTACTAGTGAATAAAGGGGATTGAATAACTGAATACTATGGCAACGATTTGAATGAGATGGTCCTCAGATCCCGACATACACCCACTTGGATGTGGTAGCGGACGTAAAAATACAACTAAGCTGATGAACAATTTCATTGAAATAGTACATGAACTAATCCATGAGTAATTTATAAACTATTAGGTGTAAAAATAATGTTACAAAGGATTTTTGTCCAAAGCATGTGACTTATCATTAAAGGAATCCATCTAGCACCTACAACAACTTTCAGGTTAGCTACCAAGTGACATTGACTTTTAATTTCAACTTCCTTTGTGTGAAGGTAAGGTTGAATTTTGGTAACTCCCTGCCAGTGTATCCTCCTAACTTAATTACTGCTTGAAGGCCAACTAAATGTGTACTATCTGGAAGAGAAGCTTGGACAAGGATCAAGATGTTCTTTCTATAAAAGGCTGTCATGGAGCTGATTGCCCCTAAATATCCTGGGTAATGTGTTGAGGGGGAGTTGTTCCTGGACCCAGAATGGAAAGAAGCTTACATACCTATGCAATGTGCAGACTTATAGTAACATGCAAGAGGAGGTTGAAACTAAGTTGAACTGAAAAGCTCACCCGAAGATGGTAGTGGTTTTGATGAAGCTCAAGTTGAAATTTGAAAACTTACTTAATATGTTATCAAGAGGGGTTATCTAGTAAAAATCAATGTAAGCAAGAACTATCAATTATTTTTTCTGGTTAAAATGGCTGTTTTCTTTGGCATGTCAAATCATTTTACTACAAATCAACTACAGAGGAATCTCACCCTTATAGGTATGATACCTATAAAGGTTACTCTGAGGTAATTTTGATCGAAAAAAAAATCAACCAGTAGGTTATTTTATGGCACTAGATTTAAACAAGGGTCAAAATTCGTAATGTCAACTATTGAGCTGGTAATTTGCCAAATCTACTTTTGAAAAAATACAAAGTTATGGAAGATATACAATTTGCAGTATGCCAAGTGATAGCGTACTTGTAGCATTGATTGATCATTACTCCTAAAGGTTTCCTAGTTTACACTTTTATTATTCCATAATTCTGGGCCCGGAACTAAATCGGACCTCATCTTAGGTGATTACAAAGCTGTCCTTAGGAAAACAAACTGGAACTTTAGGTGGTAGCAAAACCTAATCCAGGTCATAAACAGACAACAAAGTATTGGAAAAAGCCAGTAAAAGTACAAATCAGGATCAAGGTGGAATGTTGAATTTCAGAATAATTTCTACTAGGCATTTTTTTTTTTTTTTTTTTAAGAATTTTGTATTATTCAACAGCCCTCACGCTTTTAATTGAAATTTTATAATTTCTCCACATCTATGTCTTATTGCTGTATAGTGAAGTATTTGAATCTGGAGTCTGTCAAAATTTCACCTGGATATCCGATGTTTCATGTCTTCAATTTCTGATAATTCTGATATTAGAGAGTTATCAATCCCCTTTCACAAGTCTTTGCTAGAAAATGGTTACATTTTGTGCTCTGCTTTTCATTCCCAGTGTCTCATTGGTAAACTCTTCAATGGATTTGGTGTGCAGTACTAGGTCTACACACAAATTACATTCAGAATGGAGAGCAGTGTCTGATGTATTTTGTGGGCAGATCAAATTAACCAATGGGATTCCTATTACTTACATTATTCCACAGCTCTATATATATATGTGTGTACATATACATATACGTATGTATATGTATATGTATACATATATATATATATCTGTGGAATAATGTATATATATGTATATGTATGCATATATATATATATATATATATATATATATATATATATATATATATATATATATATATATATATATATATATATAATGTATACATACATACATATGTTTATGTATACATTTTATATATACATAAATATAATGTATACATACATATATATGTATATGTATACATTTTACACAGACACAGACACAGACAGACACACAGACAGACACACAGACACACACACACACACACACACACACACACACACACACACACACACACACACACACACACACACAGACACACACACACACACACACACACACACACACACACACACACACACACACACACACACACACACACACACACACACACACACACACACACACACACACACAGACACACACACACAGACACACAGACACAGACACACACACACACACACACACAGACACACACACACACACACACACACACACACACACACACACACACACACACACACACACACACACACACACACACACACACACACACACACACAAAAAAAACTAGTAAATCTAAGAAGCGCATGTGGCTTTTTGACATTTTCTTCATTAGTGGAGTTTTTCCTTCTAAAGTGTTGGTTAGGGAGGAGAATTCAAAATGTGCACAGAGGAGATTGATCATGTGCACTGTTTCCATTAAGGTAAAAGCATCAATTCTACTTCTCTTTTTAAGTCCTCACAAAATCACTTGAAAGCATCTGCGCTTAAGCGATAAGTAGTTGGACTTTTTGTACGGGTACATAATGATTATGTAAAAAAATTATGCTGTGGCTAATGAGTGGGTTGTAGCTGAATGTTATCTGAAAGATAGGGAGCTTTAACATTAAAAAAAAAAGGTGACACATCACTTACATAATAACAGGCATTTGCAAGTTATATTTTATATTTTCCTCACTGCTTCTTAATCTTCATAAAACTCAAGATACGGATTGGAAGAATCTTCAACATCGACAAAAGAAAAAAAAGTCATTTATGAAAAGGGAATGTTTTATTAAAAAATGCACATTACATGTATTTAGTGTGACTAAATTCACAATACATTCAATGCATATTTATTTCTTGGTTGTCCATCAGTAATCTTATAAATACACTTGCAATATAAATTATGTATTCCCCCTCATTCTGGCCTTTATGATGAAAATGCAATTATAATTTTTTTGAATACATTTTTATTTTTCTAGTAATGTTACAAGAATTTGCCTAAACAATACTATTCCACAGCTATACTAGCCAGGTGGACATGAATGGCTTTATCCTAATGTACATCATTTTTATCAAAGGTAAAAAAAAAAAGTAAAAAAAAAAAAGAAAGAAAAAAAGTATAAAAAAAAAAAGTGAAAAGAAGTCACAAATATCAGATAAATCTCTCTGTGTTCTACAACAAAAATAAGTGACAGAAAAATCATAATCCTAAATTGCATGGATTTTTCTAAGTATCCTAGTAACTGTGTTGAACTCAAACTTGAAGTCAAGCACAAACTGGACAATCCTAAATTGTAAGACAAAAATAAAATGTAAGAATTTAAAAAATATATATGTTCCAAAACACATGCCACAAACAACCATGCTCAGAAAATCATCCAACCAGGAGAACTTGCTTGAGGACTTCGCAAATGACTCTCTCTCAAGTCTGCAAAGAATGCTGTAGAAATCACATGAGAGTGCAGCATTCCTGTGGCGCTCGAGAAAGTGCCAAGGAGGAGCAGGTACGTCAACCATTACACAAATACTAAGAAGGAGGGGCAGAGGTGGGTGGTCCAGGTTGATGGCCAGGACCAGGGTGTGGGGCCATGTTCCCAGGCATGGCACTGGCTGGGGGCATTTGGGTGGGATGGGAGGGGGCCATGCTGCCAGGGGGATGGGCACCGGCAGGATGCATCTGTGTTGGATGAGGTTGGGGCAGGCCACCAGGGAGGGAGCTGGCAGGAGGCAACTGGTTGGGGTGAGATGGGACCATGTTGCCATGGATGGCATTGGTGGGGTGCATCTGGGCTGGGTGGGGGGGAACCATGGGTCCAGTTGGCATGTTTGCAGGAGGCATCTGGCCAGAGTGAGAAATCATGTTCCCAGGAATGGCATTGCTCTGGGGCATCTGTGGGTGGTGAGGTGTGGCCATGTTGGTCATAGGAGCTGGGGCAGGTCCTGAGGGAGAGGGAACAACTGGAGGAGCCTGGGCAGGGTTGGGTGCTGGAACAGAGCCTGGATTGGGTGGTGGTGCTTGGCCTGGGGTTGGGGGAGCTTGGGCAGCAGCCTGGACTGGAGCAGGGGCTGAAACATGTCCAGGGGTAGGACCAGGACCTGGAGCCTGCTGTGGTGGTGGCCCCTGACCTGGGACAGGAGCTGGAGCTGGGGCAGTGGTTGGGGGAGGGGCTGGATGGGGAGCAGGAGGAGGAGCTGCAACAGAGACAGGGGGGGCCTGGGGAGTGCCAGGGAGTGGAGCAGGATTGGACGAGACACCCGAGGGGGCTGGCCGAGGGACACTGCTCGCATCACTGTGAGCTGCTGTGTTCTGGGCTGAGGTGGGCGGAGTGGAGGTCATTTGGGAGGAGGATCCCCCAGCCGCAGCAGACGGGGCAAGGGGAGGGGCAGCAGAGGGGGCAGCAGAGGTGGGGCCATTGACAGCAGGAACAGCAGCAGCAGTGGTAGTGGTAGGAGCCGGAACATTTGGTGCAGTTGCAGCAGCAGTAGACGTCACAGCAGTGGAGGCTAGGCAATAATGGATTATGTTAGGTATAAGGATGGAAGGTTCACACATGCAGCAAAAGGTCTCTAACTAACACTTTGGGAAGGGCAATTCTGTCGAGAGGGAACTAACAAACTAAAAAAGTAAAGCAAATGAGCTGGGAGAATAACACAAAAAAATACTCTCAGTGGAACTAAATCAAAATAGAGAGAGAGAGAAAAAAAATATATATATATCTATATATACATATAATCTCAAATATTTCAAAAGCATAAAATTTTTTTTTTTTTCTTATAGTCAGACACTAATTATGCTTTCAATAAACTTATTCCATGCCTTGTGATATAACCAAACCATATTGAATAATAAACGCTGTTAATATATATTTGATATTTATTAGTGACTTTTAAAATAAAACATCTTTGTCTCTATATACAAATAATCCCCAAATAATCATTTATTACCAAAGAGTAATAAAGAAAAAGAAAGACTCAAACTGAATCTTTAATGCTACAACAAATCTTGAAATTGAAGGACATTATTCTCTTCTTTCTTTTGACAAAGCCTAAAATTAAATTAAATATATATACACAATAAAAATTTTATACAACAAACTAAGGCAAAATAAAAATCAACGAAACTAAGACAGTCGTCGTGTGTTCTCACCTTCCATCTTGTTCTCGTCTTCACCACCCATGTCGTTTTCCTGTGGTTCAAAATTTAGATGAGGGAATGCAAAGTCTCTAATCATAATTCAATACTAAACTTCTTAACAATTCTATTCAATTATACCAAAGAATAAAAACAAAAAAAACTGAAATGCAATTCAATAAAATTTTTGTATTCACTTTATTAACCCCTACGATACGGATGATGTGACCGTCATGTCATGAAATAATTTGCCTTGAGGGGCAGGTGACCTGAACATGCTGTCATGGGAAAATTTGGCTGTGGGCCAGGGTGACATGAGCTTGCCGTCTTGAGCATTTCCCAGCTGAAGGCCAGGGTGACTGAAAAGACTTGCCATGAGTGCACCAGTCTCTTTCTGGGTGATTAGACTCATTTGGTGTTTAGAAGGGGGCTTTTGCATTATTCCCATCAATAAATGAATGTGGAATGTAGTGTTTGTGAGCCTTGACTGGAAGAGTGCTGGCTCCAAGGAAGAGCCATTTCCATGCTCAGCATCCTATTCCTGGACACCGTGAACAGTGGTACAGAAACGGTATTACAGAAACTTGAAAATTATGATTATTATTTCTTAAATAACATTAACAACAAAATATTATTATTATTCTTGCTCTGAGGTATGGACTACCTAGAGAGATGATATGGAGTTTGTGTAAGCAAAACAGTGTACTACACTCTGGATAGAGCAAATCAAATAACAAATATAGACATTAGAAAATGAAAAAGAAAAAACAATACAATGGGGAGGCATAAAGTCATGTCACCGCACTTGAATGTTTGTGTGGGCCCGGCTTACAAGCTGCGCACCCATCAGAGTGGCCACTCATGTGGCGTAACGCCCACATTTTGGGTGCTGTGATTGCCTTGAACACACGGATTCAATGGATTGAATTAATGTTTTGAAGTAATAAAAATTAATCAGAGCTAAAAATGACTGGGTATTTTTCAGAAATAATATCATAACTGAACTTCAAAAGAATAACTCTACATAAATGTATTAACAAAGACTAAATAATATACTTCAATTATATTATCATCATTATTTCTTAATATTTCAACTTTGGCAGCTTAACACAAATTTATTACTTTTTTACTATTCATAATATCACTATGCTTACTGAATAGGATTAACTCATATAAAAATGAAATATATACATTAATATCTATAACAAATGAAAACTGAACATAAAAATAATTATAATTATTTACATACAATGTAAACAAATAACTAAAATAATTACTACCTGTGTTTAGTTTAGTAATCATGACAAAGTAGAAAAAAGGATAACAATGACAAAAAAAAAAAAGTAACAAATAATATCTGAAATGAAAGGTACTTTTCATAATCTACGTCTTTTTCCCACATGCTTTTGTCTCATTCCCCCCCTCACTAATCTCTTTCAATTACAATTTACCATTTCAAAAAGCAAGGAAATTAGGATGGATGTACCATTGAACATAAAAAGATAGAGTCAAATCTGTACTTAAGCAATAAGTAAATGAAGGGATTTCCACAATATACTTTGAACAAGAGCATGCTTACATTAGAACAGTAATTCCTTTTTTTCTCAATAAAATGAAAATCTGGTATTGATTTCCTCATCAAAACTTTACTTATTCATTTCTATTTTCCTGTTAATCAAAAACTGTAATATAAGAACTAAAGCACAAATCAAACAGAATGAATTATGAACAGTCGGATCATCAATAATGAAGGTAGAATTCCATAGAACTGGATCAAAGAAAATGGACAAATAACCCAGGTAATTCCCCATAGCTAAAGACAAGATACATACCATTAATTGATCCTTTTTCAGTTATTACTTTAATAGATCATATCCGTAAAAAAAAAAACTATCAATACTATCATAATTACAAATAACTAATATATATAATTTAATCAGAATGTGAATGAAAACCAGCTTATAGATGATAGGAAAAAAGGATTTTTATACATAACTGTTAACTCACTAGGAACAGTAGGAGTTTAAAATCAATTTACAAAGCACATGCACCAAAGCAAGCAATACAATTGAAGAGAAACAGACAACAGTAAATTACAATATCTTTATTTGAAAAAATTACATTCTCTACAGAAAGTAATGCAACAGTGTTCATTAGCAATAGAATAATTACAGGATTTTAAAAAGGTGGGGAAAAGAAAAGGAGTAAAATTGAAGCGTTGGAAAAAAAAGAGTAAATTGGTACTATCACAAAAAAGGAAACCTTAATTACAGTAGAATTAGACATCAGAACACATGCCTTTCCCATTTCTGACTCACATCATTAATCAATGAAATATACATAGGGCTATTTCTTAACATACAGGGAAAAATAACAAGTTTTCTATTCAGCAGTTCTGACTTTTGGGAATTTTGATGCTGATTATCACTGGCATACATGCAATATTATCCTTATATTTCATAGTGCAAGGCACCCTGTATTCCTTCAGCATAAGAGTGAAAACAAAGAAAAGACCTATAGTGCCCAATCATTTCAATGTCTAGTTATTTCTTAGTCCAGAATGAAATGGTTTAAAGTAATTGCTCTCTTCCTGACAAGAGTACACTATGACACAAGCAACATATGGACAAAAAATGTGCAATATTAATAGGTTTGTTAATAGTTTTCTCAAGAACATGAGTTGAATGCTGCCTTCCCCTTCCCAACCCTTAAAGTTGGAACTTAGCAAAAAATATTCTTAACTGACTAAACATTAGTCATAACAAAGAATATAACATTTTTTTCTAGATATATATTTTTTCTGTTTTTTATATAGTAAATATAAAATGAACATCACTATCCATCAAGATGTCACTTTAAAAACAAAACATATGTCAAAGTATTCACAAAAAGCCCTAAATCTTGTTCTGCAATCCTTCCTTCATAGGTACCAAATATATCTATCAAAAGGTTACACTATGTACTTTATAGCCTGCTTTATTACCTTTGTGTGTTAACTGTCTCATTATCTTCTTAAATCGACAAAACTAAATCAAGTCCACATGTTTACTCTTTGTGTCCACTGACAATATATCAAAAATGAGAAGAAAGAACAATTAATATGTAAATAACCAACATACTCAACAGCATGCTTTGGAAAGGCATATCTGTTTCTTTTGTTTTATTTCTGTTTGATGGAAAATAATGTTTGGGACAGAAAGATACAGCTAGCCAGAAGAGCCAAGCATATCACTAGTCCATCACAGTTACTATGAGATACCCGAAACGGTTTTTAAGGAGAGAGAGAGAAAATGAGAGTGAATTATATATATAGTTTGTCAAGAAAAGTTATCAGGGAGGGGGATGTGTAAAGGACAGACTAGGGGAAAACAGGAAAGGGTAAGGGGGGAGGGGGGGATGAAAAGGCCATGAAATCTTTTTGAATACATAAGAGGAAAAAGCTGCAGTCCACCACATCCAAATGGGGCTTCACAAAATCCTCCCGTCCCCATGAAAAAAAGCATTCTGAAACATTTTTAGACAACCAAGTCTGCTCCTCCTTTAACTGACCTGCATGGGGGCAGGGGAAGCTGCTGCATCAACTGGTGTGGCTGTGTTCTGGGGTGCAGGGCCAGCTGCATCATTGCTATCCTCTCTGGTTGCTGCATTGCTTTGAGGCTGCACCTGGGAGGAGGAAGTGGAGGGGGGACGTGAAGGGAGGCCCTGTGCTGTGCGTTGCCTCTCCTCTGCCTCCCGCCGTAGCACCTCCTTTTGCCGTTCAACCATAGATGCAAAAGAGGTCTCATCCAGCTTTGGAGCGGTGGCCTTTGGGGATTGGAAAAAGAGTGTCATTGCTTTCATTGTAATTTTTCTGTCCATCTCTTTCTCTTTGTTACAGGATCTGATTAAGAACTAAAAGAATCCTATCAAGCATAATTATGATATGAGTACGAGCTTGAGAAAGAAAAATCTCAATTATTATATTACAATCATTACTTAAATCAATAATGCCCTTGTGAAGAAGAAATCCTCAAAGTCATACTCTTTATGCAACAAAATATAAACGGTGACTTCACTGATCTAATAATAGCTATATTGGCTGAGAATGTCCATAAAATAATAATAATAATACTAACAACAAAGCCACACCATTAACAAAAACATTACTGGAACCCCCTTGTTCCACTCCTCCTCCCTCACCTTGACCTTCTTGAGTTCAGCCTGGAAGCTATCCCCGGCCTCAATGAACTTCCGCTTCTTTGCTTCAAACTTCTCTTCAATCTGCTGCAGCTCTGTCTCCAGTTTCTTCTGCAAATTGGAAGACATCAGACATGTACATATATATACATATATGAATGTAGAATAAAAATTGGGGGGGAAAAAAAAGAAGAAAAAAAAAAAGTATATGATATTTAGCAAATTACTGAATAACATAACATAGCATAACACACATACATAAAATAATGCAGACCTAGAATAGCCGTCTCACCTGATGCATAGTAAGTGACTGGACCTGCCGACGCAAAACTGTGAGCCGCTGACTGGTGACTACTGAGCGTACATCAGGGACCATTGTATCGGAGAAGATCTCGTTGATGAGACGGTGATTGCGGATGTAACGGGAGTGCGAAACGTGCTTCACACTTAGGCCGTCATCATAGTCTGGATAGGTATATTTGTTAAAAACAAGGTGAGATTTCCAGCATGATGAGAGTACTGCTAAAGTAATGATATTAAGACTTTGCATCTGATATAATGATAGTATTACAGGTAAATCTTTGAATAAAACCAATACTATACATGCAATGGTAATCTTCTTTCTTGGATCAAAATTTAAAAAATTAGATCCCACTCACCATCTTCATCTTCCGCTGGCTGAATGTCGATGCGTCGGTCAAGCTTAGAGCCAACTGTGGTGGTGCTGGAAGACCGGTCCAGGATCTCCTTCTCTTCTGTGGCTATAGTTCCTGTTGGCACAAGAGTACCTAAAGTGAGTTCAGAAACAGCATGTTTCTGTTGTCGGTATTTCAAACAATATCATCACAGGAGTAATCATAGAAGTTGGAAATGATAAAATCCCTATGCTACCACCTATAGATGAAGAATTATGTTTGATTTTTCTTCAATTTCTGTTTCCCTGTTTTACACATAAAATACCACCTACAGTTCTGGCCTTTCTCTAACTATGACTTTCATAACTACCCCCTGTAAATATCCTACAAACATTCTACAAGAATCATAAGTTCTACAACATTTTATGCCTAAAGATACATAAGTATAAAGTAAATGAGGAAAAACCTATCCTTAATTCTACCTTTCTGGTCAACAACTTCTAAAACTTCAAGGCTCATGTCAGGCCCCCATAATCTCTAAGAAGCCTAATATGAAAATGTTGCCCAAATCACATCACATATCACTGACATGAGGTTCTGATTCTATGTGAACTGAGGACACCTCCTCCTGCTCAAAATCAATATTCTTACCACTTCTCTTGCAAGCTCCTTTTTGGATCAAATCCTGTCTCACTTAACCAGTTTTAATGTTATGGAGTGCTCATGGGAACCTATGCAGTCTTTATCTAAACAAAACAAAGCAATCCAACTGTAAGAGCTTCAGATCCTTCAGACGTCAAGAACGGTCCTTTTTTTTTTCTTCTTCTCTATTCCTTTTTGCAAATTACCTGTCTCAGAAATATTCATCCTGTTACCTGACATGACTAAGACAGCGGGAGGAGGTGCTTGCTCAAACAGCACCTTAACTCTAATTGTAACTGCTAGGCATAGATCTAGCACTAATCACTTTTCGGGTCATTCATTCCTAAATCCACTTAAGGGAACTAGGCCTATCCTCAATCAAAACAGCTAAAATTTTTGGGCAACTTTAACGTGTGACTTACATAACAGAACCAGTCCAGGAAAGCATGTTGAAAACATTTCAAAATTTTAGTGTCTCTATCCCCAACTGACTTGCAAATACAGCTACAATTTTGATATTTGATCACCTATAAAATTTCCCTAATATTTCCACTAACTTCCTCTCTATATACACACATGCTAATTTACAGCAATATCTAAACAATTCTAATAATGATAATAATAATAACAATAATAATAACATCAACAACAATAATATAAATAATATACTGACCAGTATGTTCAGAACAAATATCTCTGGATTGTACTCAAGCAACATTATATTTTACTTTTTTTTTAACAAATTCATTATATAAATGCTAAATTATAAAAGAAAATATACCTCCCTCCCTCAATAACAAACTTAAAGCTAAGAGAGTGCCTGAAAATGCATGAAGCAAGCTATTCTAAAGCACTTATATGCAAATTTCAATGTCTGAGGGGAATAAAAAGGGCCAAATCCCTATTTCTCCCTTCATAAGCTACTTGCATTTAACACTACATATTCATCCCATAAAATATGGAAAAAAATATATATCCACACTTACACACAAAAGTACAAAGAGGAGGAAGTAGATGCACTCATTAAATTTTTGACACACACACACATGTATATATATATGTATGTATGTATACACACATACATTATATACATACATATATATATTATATATACATACATACATATAATATATGTACACACACACACATTTTTATATATATACTTAACTATAAGTATACATATACATAACTATATGCATCCATATACATAACTATATGTATCCATATACATAACTATATGTATCCATATACATAAATATATGTATATACACACACAATATATATATATATATATATATATATATATATATATATATATATATATATATATATATATATATATATATATATATATATATAAATGTATGTATACATAAACTGATGAACTGGCTTTCAGAAGAAATTCAAGCATTCAGTGACTCAACACAAAATTAATTGCATATAAAACAATAATTTCTGTGTTGTGAAAGTACAAGATTCTTTTCAAGCAAATCATGAAATGAGGGATGTCTTCATGCTCAATAAGTACCCTCAAGGTTGTGGTGAAATTTCTTACATGAGAAAATGCAACATGCCAGAAACTAAAACAATATTATCTTCATGAAATGCTTACTTTGCAAAAGGGATAACTGATAGGTTTTCAATAATTTATCATGTGCTATGTCATATCTCAATCAATAATTAAAATGACTTCTTACATACACTGGTTGTTAAATATGTATTCAAAAACAAAAACTACAAAGAAACAAGAATAAATTCTCTTCCATTCTGCAATTCTTTTTCATTCTTTAACTTTATTTATTCACAAAATCAGAAATGAAAGTGACTACATTAACTTTTTCAAAATTGGACTCCTAATAAGCCTTTACATAATGTAATATAGTAAATTTAAAATATTAAGAGGATTCTATATCCACACTAATATGAACTTTACTTACTCAAATTCAAAACACCCAAATCCAAAAGAAATTACAGTATCTAATTGCACATATCAGTTCCTAAACAGATTACCCATTTTCCCCAACAGATATTGTAACTGCCTACAAGATCTTAGAAAAAATAGAAACATTGGTGGAATAGACAGTAGAACAGTCTGGACCTACCTTTTGTTTTGGCATTCAAGTACGCCTGATAGCTGGGTGAGGCATGGTAACTTTTCAGTGCCTTTTCATATTCAAGCTGCAAAAACAGAAAATTCACAAATGCAAGTAGTAGTTTTACAGTGTGTGTGTAAGAGAGTGAGTGTGGCAAGAAATCTCTTGTCGAGGTGCAGTGAGTGGTGGAGAGTTTAGGCGGATACAGTGAGGGTGAACACAGGCAACACTGTGGCTCTTTCAAAGGTTCCTTCTACCATAGAAACGCAGGTGAATACCAGGCTAATTGGAAAAAAAAGAATATTCAAGAAGAGGCAAATCAAGTAAAAAAAAAAACATACATTCAAAATAAAAATGAAAATAAAAGGGTGTTATAAATTAGTGGAGGGATTCTGGGAGTGTTAACAAATACTACTCGCATGCAAGAGGCATAACCTCTTAGTACATTATTTACCACTTTGTGGTATATAATGTACTAATATTGTGAATTTTCCTAATAGAAATCTAATCATTTTACAAAGTGGCATAAATATATTTTGGAGACCATGTTCTGGTGCAAATATATATCTTATAATTGCTGTGATTGGATATATTTAATGCTGATTATATAAATATCTGGTGGGCCAATTGGGCAACTTCCCTACAAATGCAATATGATCGTTCACAAGATTTTAATGAACAAGAAACAAGCTGTGATCTGATCTCTATAACAGCTCATGGGGAAAAAAGTTTTACTTTTCTAATCTGCAAACACTGCTATCTGCACATCACCCATGTGGAAATGGGACTCCTCATTACAGCCTACATCAAATACAAATCACAAAGTTAGCAATCCCAGATATTAGAAATACCAGCCCCTGAAGACAAGTTACCAAAGAATTCCCTTTCCCCCTTGCAAACAAATAAAAAACTATAAAAACTTTGTCACACCACACCATAAGAACTTATTTAAAATACAAAATATATACATACATACACATGTACAAACGGCCAAAAGCTACCATGCATATAATAACCGCCAACAGAGAGAGGATCATGCTCAAGTCCATGTAGTTGCAGGAACTTCCAAGATGCATCCCCGGGCCCATCCTCTCTCTCTCTCTCTCTTCTCTCTCTCTCTCTCTCTCTCTCTCTCTCTCTCTCTCTCTCTCTCTCTCTCTCTCTCTCTCTCTCTCTCTCTCTCTCTCTCTCTCTCTCTCTCTCTCTCTCTCTCTCTCTCTCTCTCTCTCTCTCTCTCTCTCTCTCTCTCTCTCTCTCTCTCTCTCTCTCTCTCTCTCTCTCTCTCTCTCTCTCTCTCTCTCTCTCTCTCTCTCTCTCTCTCTCTCTCTCTCTCTCTCTCTCTCTCTCTCTCTCTCTCTCTCTCTCTCTCTCTCTCTCTCTCTCTCTCTCTCTCTCTCTCTCTCTCTCTCTCTCTCTCTCTCTCTCTCTCTCTCTCTCTCTCTCTCTCTCTCTCTCTCTCTCTCTCTCTCTCTCTCTCTCTCTCTCTCTCTCTCTCTCTCTCTCTCTCTCTCTCTCTCTCTCTCTCTCTCTCTCTCTCTCTCTCTCTCTCTCTCTCTCTCTCTCTCTCTCTCTCTCTCTCTCTCTCTCTCTCTCTCTCTCTCTCTCTCTCTCTCTCTCTCTCTCTCTCTCTCTCTCTCTCTCTCTCTCTCTCTCTCTCTCTCTCTCTCTCTCTCTCTCTCTCTCTCTCTCTCTCTCTCTCTCTCTCTCTCTCTCTCTCTCTCTCTCTCTCTCTCTCTCTCTCTCTCTCTCTCTCTCTCTCTCTCTCTCTCTCTCTCTCTCTCTCTCTCTCTCTCTCTCTCTCTCTCTCTCTCTCTCTCTCTCTCTCTCTCTCTCTCTCTCTCTCTCTCTCTCTCTCTCTCTCTCTCTCTCTCTCTCTCTCTCTCTCTCTCTCTCTCTCTCTCTCTCTCTCTCTCTCTCTCTCTCTCTCTCTCTCTCTCTCTCTCTCTCTCTCTCTCTCTCTCTCTCTCTCTCTCTCTCTCTCTCTCTCTCTCTCTCTCTCTCTCTCTCTCTCTCTCTCTCTCTCTCTCTCTCTCTCTCTCTCTCTCTCTCTCTCTCTCTCTCTCTCTCTCTCTCTCTCTCTCTCTCTCTCTCTCTCTCTCTCTCTCTCTCTCTCTCTCTCTCTCTCTCTCTCTCTCTCTCTCTCTCTCTCTCTCTCTCTCTCTCTCTCTCTCTCTCTCTCTCTCTCTCTCTCTCTCTCTCTCTCTCTCTCTCTCTCTCTCTCTCTCTCGATAGCTGGGTGAGGCATGGTAACTTTTCAGTGCCTTTTCATATTCAAGCTGCAAAAACAGAAAATTCACAAATGCAAGTAGTAGTTTTACAGTGTGTGTGTAAGAGAGTGAGTGTGGCAAGAAATCTCTTGTCGAGGTGCAGTGAGTGGTGGAGAGTTTAGGCGGATACAGTGAGGGTGAACACAGGCAACACTGTGGCTCTTTCAAAGGTTCCTTCTACCATAGAAACGCAGGTGAATACCAGGCTAATTGGAAAAAAAAGAATATTCAAGAAGAGGCAAATCAAGTAAAAAAAAAAACATACATTCAAAATAAAAATGAAAATAAAAGGGTGTTATAAATTAGTGGAGGGATTCTGGGAGTGTTAACAAATACTACTCGCATGCAAGAGGCATAACCTCTTAGTACATTATTTACCACTTTGTGGTATATAATGTACTAATATTGTGAATTTCCCTAATAGAAATATAATCATTTTACAAAGTGGCATAAATATATTTTGGAGACCATGTTCTGGTGCAAATATATATCTTATAATTGCTGTGATTGGATATATTTAATGCTGATTATATAAATATCTGGTGGGCCAATTGGCAACTTCCCTACAAATGCAATATGATCGTTCACAAGATTTTAATGAACAAGAAACAAGCTGTGATCTGATCTCTATAACAGCTCATGGGGAAAAAAGTTTTACTTTTCTAATCTGCAAACACTGCTATCTGCACATCACCCATGTGGAAATGGGACTCCTCATTACAGCCTACATCAAATACAAATCACAAAGTTAGCAATCCCAGATATTAGAAATACCAGCCCCTGAAGACAAGTTACCAAAGAATTCCCTTTCCCCCTTGCAAACAAATAAAAACTATAAAAACTTTGTCACACCACACCATAAGAACTTATTTAAAATACAAAATATATACATACATACACATGTACAAACGGCCAAAAGCTACCATGCATATAATAACCGCCAACAGAGAGAGGATCATGCTCAAGTCCATGTAGTTGCAGGAACTTCCAAGATGCATCCCCGGGCCCATCCTCTCTCTCTCTCTCTTTCTCTCTCCTTCGTGAACAGAGCAACAAATGCCCTTATAGCACACAACTGCTCTATGAGTGCTACCTTGCCCTACCCTAAGGCCCAGCTTGCTCAGGCCTCCCTCCCCCGCCACCGACACAACCTACCTTTGGCCTTGGCTGCTAGATACTGCTGGTAGGCTGGCGAGGCATGATATACCTCAAGTGCCTTATTGTATTCCGCCTGTAAAGCAGAGTGCATCAGCAGGCTACTTACCCTATGACCACAATTTTGGTTTCTTTTCATTTTTTATCATTATTATTTTTTTTTTACTTTACTTAAGTGAACCCTTTAATCATTTTTGTTAGCAATATTGATTTTTTTTTCTTGATTTTCTTTTCTCATTATTCTCTCTTCCTCTTTCACTGCTGATAACTAATCTTAATTTGTACTGATAAACTGAAAACATTCATTACTATGCAAGAATTCTTTTGTACATTATGAATATAATAATAATAATAATAATAATATCTTCTAAAGGAAAGAAAAAGAAATAATAAAAATAGTTATTCTTGACACAAAGACATAGTGTAAGTTTAAAATGCAGGTAAATGCTAAGACTGACTTGACATTCTGGAACAACAAATGTGTTACATGGTGGCCTCAAATTACCTGAACTACAACACATCTGAATCTATGAAAAAAAGGCACTTTATAACCACATCATCAAAGGTTCTTAATGCTGATCATTACTTTTTTGTTCTCAATTTATGCCTACTGTTTATCTCAGTTTGAAAATAATCCACTAAGAGAATGACAAATAAATAAAAGAGAACCATAGAACCATGCTGTCTTTATAACAACAAATTGTGAATACAAAAAAACACAAAAAATGGAAAAGAAAAAATATACAATACACAGCCGGCCCTTAACACTTGTTTGGGTTTTCTTCTTAAATCCATCATGAACACCAACCCATTCCAAAATAGTGACACCCCTATCAACATCAAAGTGGTATGTCCAAATTTCCCATTTTCTCATTTTGTGTGTTTAATAGTGCCTCTCTTTGTGACAGATTGGTCTACCACCTTAGGCTAAGATATAAGAGTTCATCAGTAGTCCAAGAATCTTGTAATGAAAATCTCACAATCATGTTTTCTCCCTCTTAATCCATTGTGAATGCTGATACATGTTGTTGTGGAAATTACTACTACTAGTACACTAGCCTATGCTGAAGCTATAGTATTCACATTATTCCCTGCCTCATAAAATGAGGTTAGATCACTAATATCACAAAGTATAATGCCTATATATGAGTGGATGTAACATCTTGGTGTGATCCTACACTGTCTTTGAATTATTTTGAGGGAAACTTGACTCCATGTTAAACCAATGTCACCAGGAAAATGCTGTGCTCATTTTAGATATTTTTGTGAAATGTCTCTACTTAACCACAAAGGAGTCACTTAATAGACCTTGTGGCCTTACCCGATTTCACTTTTCCTTGAATCTTATTTTTTTACATTTAACCCCTTCCTAGAAGGTCATGCCCTCAGGCTTCATAACAAACTGCTTTATCTATGTTGTGTGGCTGTACCCGGCGGCGCGCCAAAGCACTACGAGCCTCTTATTCAGCTTGATGTACTGAACTCCCGTGCTCAAAGTTGGTACGTTACCATTGATCTCCAGGGCATAGTTTTAAAAAAATTTTGTCACCCATTATCAAGGGTTAAATACATAAATAAATGAAAAATCCTACTACTAGTCTTACGAGTGTTGAAGCCTGTGAAAATTGACCCAATGCCAATGGGCTTGGGATGTATGTATTTTTGGT